TATAATAAAAATATATATAACATTATACAGCTATCAGGTTATCTATTTTATTCTATTCTATTTTATTTATTTATTCAAAACCAGGGAAAGCAGTCTGGGCAAAAAAAAACTACAGTTGATACTGTCCAATTTTATATACAGGTTGCTTTGGAAAATTTAGATTAATTGTGTAATCTGCACAAATCAATCAATCATGTCAGTGTGAGTTTCTTACTGGCACCATGGAGTATGTCATCATTGTCATCATTCCATCCTGCTCTTCTAATTTGTGCTGGTAAACCGGCCCATGCGGCTTCGGATACTGATACTGGAAATCTCCCAAGACTTCCTCTCCCACACTCCCCTCGTGCTCCTCAAAGGGTCGTGTCCCTCGATGCTGCCGGCTGCGTTTGTTTCTGGAGTATTGATACTCAGCCTCATCTTCGTTCACCTGTGTCATGAACTCCACCACAGAGCTCTGAGAAATCTCCACCATCTGCCTCTCCACCTCAGTCAGATGAGCCCACAGCTCTCTCTGCTGAACCAGGAGCAGAACCAGGCCAGCACAGTTTATTACCGTCAGTACGCACATGCTGTACAAGATCCAACGCACCTGCCAGGACAACCGGCCACCACACTGCCTAAAGCCTCCGGTTCTTCTCAACTCAGCCAGTGGATCCAGCATTCTGACTTCAATTCAGAATTTCAAAAAAAGTGTTCAAAAACCGCGAAACACAACTAACAACAATTCAACACTTTCAAAAGTAAAGCTGAATAATAAAAGTCTAGAATATTCCCCCCCAAAAAAGGACAGTCTCTGGATGCGAGAAGACAATGGAAGTCCTTGTTTCGAGTTGAGTCTGTGTGCGACTGAGGGCTGCTCGGCTTTGTGCCGTCCTGATGCGCTGGAGAAGAACCCTCCACTTGTGCAGTCACCTGATTTATATGCAGTAGAGTCCATTCTTCAGCATGACCGTGGGCTGACCAGCATAATCCACATCGACACCAACAGCCAATGATGTGGAAGAAAACTAGACACGCTGAGAGCCACTGCAAGATTTCAGTAAACACTTTCTTAAAACAGTTCTGTTAAGACTGTCTCCAAACATCTTCAAATATGTAGTGTTTTTATGTATTTTTTATTAGACCTTCAAAGCAGTCTTGGCAAAGGTAGTGTAACTTTTAACACCAAAACATGTTCTAAACATTTGAATGGACAAAATCTGAAAGTATAACCATATCTGAGAACAATACAGACAAAACAAAACTGACAACAACAACAAAAAAGTTATTCAGCTCCACAGTGATTTCACGAACATGTCAGAGTGAGTAAATGTCAGCATAAAGGAGCCTAGACCCTTGAGGGAACTCAGGCTGCTTGTGAAGGCCTGACATACAATTCTTACAGTGCCCATATCATGCAACATGACCCATTTCTGTAGTTTTAATTTGGGTTTTGATCTGATAACAGTTAGCACCTCGCTCTCATTGAGTCTTCACTTTCTATGCTTATATAATGAATGTGGACTACATCTGCACTTGCTATAATTGGAAATGGCAGGCACTGCCAGTATTGGTTGTACAATAAAAATAATAATAATATAGTCTGGTTGGTGCACAGCCAGATTGTTTGTGTATTAAAAAAGAGGATTTTCCTCTGATAAATGCTGGTACAGTGCTGTATGAAACCGTGAAGTCTGTTATGTTTTGTGGTCCTCTGCCCTACAGCTGTAGGTCATTGCCAAATAAAATATACAAGCTGAGCTACAAGCTCCTTGGTTGGGTTTGTGTGATCACGCAAGCAAGGAACAAGGTATCAGAGTAGAGTGTGTACTGAGTATGTGCTTATGCTGGGAGAAGTGTGAAGGTCATATCAGTTCAGTCAGGTTTTTTTTCTGTAATTTCTTTAAATAGTTAGTTGGGTACAACTTCACTGACAAACAAGGCACTAGTTGCCAGAAGTCTGGCATTTGAGATTAATTGGAATTAACTGTAAATCTGTTTTTAGCTCAGGTTTTTTTTTTTTGTTTTTTTTTTAGGTCAGCCAAGTTCTTTAACAAGAGTGATATATTTCACGTAAAACGATCTAAAATGGTCAATAAATAGTCTCAATGATTAGAATATTTTAATAATTCTTTGACTGACAACTGTTCATTAAATTAACTCAAATCTTTTAAAAAGGTTTTACTGTATTTGAGGTAGTTAGTATCAGCATTGGAGGTAATGCATATGTTACATAATTAGAACCAATTAAATCCAATCAGCTTTTCGGTGTAAATGAAATGACGCATCAGGATACGTACAATTACAAAATAACACATTTTAGTTTACATAAAAAGCAACAATGCAACATAATCAGTTAATTCGATTGGGAGAAACAGTATTGTAACAGCAATATTCCAACACTGGTTAGTATAGATCTCTGGATTTAAGAAAGTGTGTTTGGTTTGTGTAATTGAATCTTAAAACAGAATTTTAAGACACCTAGAAATACAGTGAATTGCATATTCTTGAGCACAGCTGTATATTTCACAAGTAATGTCTGTGAAATTATTGATACTTATTATTTCTGAAATTCTAAATAGAAAGTCTACATGTGAGAGTCAGTAAGTCTCTTCCTGTCTGAGTGGGTGGTTCTTGGCCAGAATAAGCTACAAAATGCACCATGCCGGCAGTAGAGAAGTCTGGCTTGAAAAACTAATTGACTTTAACCATAAACCTGTTTAAAACTCAAAATTCAGTCAAGGTCAGTCAAGTTCACTGACTCTCCTGACAGATAATGAGGGACTAGACCATGAAAAGGTTATTAAGAAGTAGGCTATAACTAATTCAACATGACATGCAAATCTAGATTTCTGCCCTTAACGCAATCCACTATGTTGAAAAAGAAGATAAAATGATGTATATCATCTACATAGCAATGCAATGCAGAGTTTCCTAATAACATCTCCTAGAGTGCATGTGCAAAATTAATTACAAAGGGCCTGAAACAGAGCCTTGTGGAACAACATATTTTAATGTATTTAGGATGGTTCTTCATTTACACAAGCAGGCAATTACTGATTTTCTTTCAATCATTTTTTTTTAATGAGATGCAAGAACATACAAAACTACAACCAAATGGGTGATAATGTAAAATGGAAAAAAAAGAGAGAGATACTTGCTATTTATGCAAAACTTTTATGTAACAGGCCCTCAGACCTCAAAGAGGTCAGTTGAGTGGACATTGGACTGTATTCAGTAAAGGGAAGTGGTTTGGCTTCTCTCCCTATGCGTTGTCTCAAACATTGCTGTTATTATCTGTCACTTGGCAGTCCTCATGAGAAACCGAACAAATGTCCGCCCACAACAGCCGTATGGCTAACATTGCTTTCACTGAGCTAAACACACAACCATCTTAGAGATCAACACAAACCCTCCCCTGGATGCAAGGTGTTAGTGATGGGCTAGCAAAGTAATTCAGTGGATGGACAATAAAAATGTCATAATCATGAAAAATTCAACTGTACTTATTGAGTTTTGTAGCTAATATTTATCACAAAATGCAGTTTCCGCAAACACAATATAAGCACTATATTGGATGTCTTTGTAAGAAAGCACCAGCAAGCAACATAAATGTAAATGATCTATACATTTATGTTTGACAGTCCCCACAATTCCCTTCCTTGTGGCTTCCTGCCCACAGTTTTGCTACAGGGGACAAACAACTTATTTGAAGAATTGCGAAACTCAAGGACCACAAAGACCTTATTGAAGTGACAACATATTTAAGTGACGTGGCTTTCAATGTGCAGAGGGACACTTTGTTCTACAATGAATTAAAGATTACTTGTTTCATTCCGAGAAAGACATTCCTGCCCCAAATACGTAGTGTGTGATGTTGCTGCATTTTCAAAAGGTCGACTCCTTTATGAGAGGCTCAAAGTCTTTATTAAGACCACCCTGAGATTCTGACATACATGAAAATCCCCCCTTACACTACCATGTAGTCACATAACTCAATATACCCTACAAGTCAATTAAACTAATAAATATCAGTCACAAACGATGAAGTAAATGAGCACAGCTCACAGAAACATGAGAGTGGGCATATTTTACTCAGAACACTGTAGCAAGCACTTAAACAAGCAAAAATCACCTTAGCAGCCACACATCGATACCTGTTTTGCATGGGCGAAGGCCACTCACATTTATTTATTTATTTTTTTTCACAGTTATGTAGGTTAATTGGTATTTAGCCAATGGTTTCTTATTTAAGGTACTGTAACTTACAGTAACATTACAGCTTCGGTCCCCCTGGAGTAACCTGAAGTTAAGCATTTTGCTCAAGGGTACAGTGGTTCAAATAACCCCCTTTGGGCCTTAACCCAGCAACATCTATAGTTAAATCCTCAGGGGTTTAACCATTAAGCTGCTGCCACAAAATATTGGCCAAGGGTTCTGGGTAGTGTGGCCATCCTTAAAGTTTAAGTCAGACTGTCTGGTTTTGAAATACCATGTCTTTATCCAGTGGTATATAATAAACAAATGAATAATTAAGAGAATGAATAGACAAATAAATAGGCTGTGTTTAACTTAATATTAAGTGACATACATTTTAGATACAATATTGTCAATATTGACAGTTGTTTTTTTCAGTATTTTGCCAATGAAAATAGTTCCAAACAAAATGCAGCAGAACCTTTGCATCTCCATTTAACACAGTGGTGTTTCATTCCTGAATGATTCAGCGTTTTGGATGAATCAGGTGAGTCAGTGATTCAATGACACATTTATAGAGACATTAGGCTTGTTTGCCATGTACCTCGCCTCGCCTGAAATGTAGGTGAGAGTAGGCGGCTGCAGTGAGGGGAGGAGCGAAATAAGCGCAGTCAAGACGGACAGTTCTGCCCTCTCGAAGTGGAACAGATACCAACGAGATCAAAGACAGATATCGCGTTATTCACACTCATGTGCTGTGTTGCTAATAAACATGATATCATTTCAGTTCTGATGCTTTTATATGAAAATAAATATTATGAAGAAGACACTCAAAGTGCTTGCTATTTAATTCCATACGAAAGGTGTATTTATCATCCATTTTTACCTTAATACAAACATGTATTTTAGATTTGTATAGAAATATGACAACAATCACACACAGAGATCGCACTGTCATAGTGTTTGGGAACATTCATGCATAATTTAAATACATATTCACAAGGAACCAGTTAAAAAAAATAAAACATTTTAGAAGAGAATGCAGCATCACAGTTGTCTGAACCTAAGAGCATTAAGCTGTGTCATCAGTCAGTCGTTTCCCATCATGCTTTTGATCAGCGCAGTTGGTGGAGAGCAACTGCGCTCGACTGCACAATCCGACACAGCTGCCTCGCCGTCGCGAGAGTTTTTTGGCACACGTCAGCATGACATCAGAGCAAGTCGGACGTAACTCGGACACTTTTCTAACCGGCATGCATCTCGCGGTGATCGGTTCTGCACAGATTTTGCTCATCTCAAACAAGCCTATTTATTTATAAAGTCACTTGGTTTGTTCTGAAAGAATCATTTTGAATGAATCAATTGAATGAATTATTCTCACAGTGACTTGCCATTTCCTACTGGCAATTTTAATTTAATATTTAAAGTATTGCTTAATTTTCCAACATTTCATATTTCTATATTCAGATATATTTCATATTAAAAACATGAATGCTATTTTAATTGCAATGTAAATGCAATTATGCCACCTTTGAGCTGCATTAAACAGTTTGTGTAAATATCTCCAAATGCCACCTAAGATACAGATTCTATCCCATGTCTGTAGTTAATTCATTTGTTTGCCCTATAGTGCAGGGGTGGCGAACTCCGGTC